ATTCATGGTAGGTTCGCATAATGGCAGGCTGCAGCGGCAATGAAACTACGATTCTACCATCTTTCACGGTCGTAAGCAGGTTAACTCCACTAATTTCTCGCATCCTCACGTCTTCTGTCGGCTTCAACGATGCTTTCACTTGCTCATCCTTGATTGAAGTTGGCACCAGGGAGAATAGTTCTGCATCTTCCACAGTACTAGTAGCGACCACGTGAGCTGAGTGCCTAGCTGTCTCTATCGGTAGTCTGGTCAGCGCGTCTGCTACTACGCTATCGTTTCCCTGGATGTAGATCAGCTCGGGTCCGTACTCTTCAAACTCTAATTTCCACCGAAGCATTGTCCAATTAGTAATATTCTGGAGCGTTGAAATACAGATGATCAGTAGATACTCGTATTTTCTGTCCCCACACGATCGAACGGAATTCGCGTAGCATCAAACGAATACTGAGCAGTTCCTTTCTGCTGGTAGCGTATTTGTGGTGGGTGTCGTCGCACTTTTGAGACAAAAATGCAAGGGGTTTGCCCTATTGCATGAGCACTCCTCCAAGTTGGTAATCAGATGCGTCCTTGTAGATATTAAAGACCTTGTCAAAGTCGGGATACGCTAGCAGCGGGGCTTGTCTTGGCTAGTCTTTTCCTTGTCTCCGTCAAATACAGCTTGTTCGCGAGGGCTCCAGCGAAATGGAACTCAGGACGATGTAAGCGCAGTGCGTGGTGCTAGTGTTTGCGACCGGCTTGACCGCATATTCTTGTAGTAATTTACCATGCCAATGAACCGACGCAGGTCACGGGCGTTCCGCGGTCGCGCTAAGCGCTGTATCGCCTCCACTTTAAAAGCAATGGGTCTTTTATCTTCCGTGGAAATGTTGTATCCTAGATAATCCACGCTTTGAGCGCAAAACTTGCTTTTTGCCGCGTGCACAACAGCTCCTGCGTCTGACAATCACTTTAGAACAATCTGAATATGCTCGAGATGCTCATCAAAAGTTTGAGAGAAAAATTAGGACGTCATCCAAGTAAATTGTACATATATGAGGCCCCCAATACCTGCGTCATGACAGCATGAAATTCATCAGGTGCTGTGCTGATCCCCATAGGTAAATGACAATAGCGGTATTTTTCCCACGGAAGCACAGTGGTCGTATATAGCCTACTCTGTAGGGCAAGTACTCGACTATAATATGTCATTACGAGATCGAGAGTGGTAATAAAGCATGGTTGAGGAAGCTCTCGAATCAAGTCTTGTATCTTGGGCAATGGGAAGTAGCTACGCCAGAGCCACCTATCCAGCCGCCGAAAGTCAGAGAGAAACCGTACTGAGCCATCTTTTTTAGGAACTACGAAAGCTGGGGCAGCCCAAGGGAAGTCTTTGTCTGGCTCTACAAATTTCCAATCGGACCAGACGTTCCACCTCCTGCAATGTGGCTGCTTGCAGCTTGTGTGGAACACTGTACGGTGCTTGCGCTGATAGTAATGCATCCGGCATAATTGGCAATACATAGGGATGCCACGTAAGCCTTCCAACGGTCCCCAAAAAAACAACCTTGATACTGTGCAGCGCCGCACTTAGTTGTTGTTGTTGCCCCAGCGACAACGTATCGCTCGGAATGCGTGCATTAATACGGTATCCACATATTTTTCAGTCGCATCCAAAATTCGGTTCACGCGATCGTAGGGGTTAGTAATAGCAAACAGAACAGGTTTTTTGTTTCTGGTATCGTGACTCCATCCCACGTAATGTTTCGTTCAATATGACACCTTGTTCTCACAAAAAATCAGTCCCTAACATGATTGGATAAACAAGGGTTTCTGCAATTTGGAACACATTAATTAACTGCCGAGATGACGAGAAATCTTCCGGAAGCTCGATACTTCCACAGGTCGTCTCCATATTTCCAGCTGCGTTCCGATATTGGCCTTGTTCTTTTGGCACGCACCACGATACTACCTGTAGACTTGTTGCATCCCGTGTCAAATAGGGCTAAGAACGTCTTCTTTGAAAGTGGATGACGCAGTTGGGCGCGCACTTACATCCCCCGACTGGTAGATGTTGGCGCTCGCGCGACTGCGATGTCATGTTGTTCATGGTAATTACACCCCAGGCCTGCGTAGGCTGCCTCCACGTCTGCACCGTTGCTTTCATCTTCATCGAATTGTACTGCGTTTACCTCCGCCTTCATCTTGTTTCGGTCCTCCATACTCTTCTTGAAATGTTTGCTAGAATTTGGTCGGTAACTTGGCGGCTCCAGGTTCCGGAAGCATTCCGGATTTGTATGGTTCCGGAAAAGGTCATACCTTGTTCTTCACAGTAATTGCAGCCTTTGCCGTCCTTGTTCTGTTTTACTTCTCACTTCCGCTTACCACTGCTTGTATCTTGACGCTGCTGAGTATTTCCACCACTTTGTCTTTGTTGCCATTGTTTGTTTTGTTACTCCGCTTGCTAAATTTATCAAAATCGGGAAGAATCTCCTCTTTGGACAGGAATCGGAGTTATAGTTTATGTTTTAGACATGTTCTAGGAAAGGACTTCATCCGAGCTAAAGTTAAATGAGATCACTTTCCCTTTTCCCACAAGTGAGATACGACATAGAGAAGCTTCTATTTCGCGTATCCTATCCTCCCCAGAAGATAGTGGAGCTATGAACTGCGAATCCGCGGGCCCACCAGCCCGCAAACCAGTTCGTTTCGGATGGACTCAAATGTCATGCCAGCAGCCTAAAATTGCAGTTTTCCCGGCTTTGGGGGCGTACTTTTTTGTCATATACGTACTACGCACGCCTAAAAAGAGCCAAACCAGAACCACGGTTCTGATAATTACTCAGAGCCCCTAAGTATCAGGAACTGGGTTCTGAGAATTTTTGGGTTCGTAATGCGAAAGGACAAGAACCGCGGTTTATTAGCAAGAACCATTGACAGGTTCTCTTTTGCGAGCAGCTATTGGACAGTTGCTGTTTGAAACTGTGAGCGCAAGGGTTCACATTTTGGGCTCAGTAAAATCTGCGACAAGACACGTAAACATAATATATCGGTAATACTGGTTCATACCGAATCCGCCTGAAACTAAGAGCTAAATAAAAGGCGGTACATGTAATTAGTTCCTAACCGGTAAAGCGTGCGAAGTACCATTTAGGGCCGTTCTTAGCCAAATAATAACGGTGGTTTATGCTTCCATGGCCCAACCATTTCACTTGGATCCATATGGCAGTGGACGCCGTATGGTCCGTTTGATCCACGTCCACTGTGTGAAATTAGGGTTGGTGGCCGTGGACGGAAGGTGGACGGGAGGAGAGACATACCTGACGGGATAGAACGACACCTTTGGCTGGAGTTTATACAGCTCATTCCATCAAGTCTCCTGAAGCACTCAGTCCACATCAGCAACCAACGGTCCCCTGTCAATCTATCACCATGTCCTCCTCCTCCGTTATGTCTCCTCGTTTGCCTTCACCTACGGCACCTCCAACTACCGCTACATCTGACGGCGGCATTCCCGCGACTGCATCGACTATTGGTGATGTCATGTACAACGGCACCATGAATCTAGAGGAAGCCGAATCGTGTCTGTGGCATTTGGAGCTAAACAACTTCGCACAGAGTGTTATATTCGGCAGCTACGTATCGTGAAAAAAGGGCCCGGACGCCAACGACCACAAGACAGGATATGTTGCGTTATTAATGCAACAGAAGCGCGCGTTCAGCGAGATGCAACGTCTAGGTGTGGAGGAAGGTCCGGCCAAACGCGGTGTAGTGGGTAACAAACGTCGTACTCGCCACTGCATGCTGCGGCTTTTGAATGTCATGTTTCGGACTTATTTGCACACCGGCTTCATGAAATTGACGCTAGAGCAACCAGGGCCGAGTTTGAGACAAACATGACTCAAGAAAAAAGCACATTTTGGACGGATTTTCACTCAGCGTACTTGAGTTCGCGTCCAGAATTCAGCAAGCTTGTTTCACATCTGGCAGTATTCGAAAAATGCAAGCCTGAGTTCACCGTTCCTCACGAAGCTGCAAAATTACGAGATATGTGGAAGGATATTACTGGTCGTTATGCTACTGCTGTGGCGAACTCTCAAATTTCAGGCGTGCACGACAATGATTTTTTTTCTTTCTGCTCCGGAAAAATCGACGTCCTGTACATGCATGAGTGGATGCGTGAGAAACCTGGTTTGTTGGAGTCCGTAGAAGGGAAACTGCCAAAACGTGCTCGTTTACATACCATGGAGGGAGGTAGTGACAACAACAACAACGAGGTTGGAGGATCTCGTCAATCAAAAAAACAACGTACTTGTTCGAAGAAAGGGAAGTCACAAGTGAAAGAGATCAATTTGAGCGATATTCTTACGACAATGCAAGCCAATAACGCCTCGGCTCAGGCGCTTGGGCTTGATTGTCGCCTGGCACAGCTGGTGAGCTCTTTGAATTCGCTCATGGAGCTTAGAGAGCGGATTCTTTGTGCTCCAGAGGGAATATATACTCATGACGACCTAATGGAGGCAAACGAAGACGTTGGACACGTTCGTGCAAAGAAGAAGGCCCTCATAAGAAAATAACAAATAAAGTGTGTCAAGATCAGTATTTCTATTTAGTTGTTTACACTCCGATTGCGTGAAATGTTGTACTGAGGCCGAACAATGTTATTAGCGCGAAGGTGCTGAACAATATAGTCTCTCATGTAGCTGTTACCCTCTTCAACAACAAGATCACTTGACATGTAACCCATGAGATTGGCAACGTCATTTAATCTTTGCACTCTTTGCGAGACGCAAATGGGTTGAATCGACTCGTCAAATAAACAATAGTCGGCATCAGATATTATACGTCTGTTAATCACGTAGTTATGCAGCACCATAGCTGTGTAAATTGTAGTGGTAGCATTTAAAAGGTTCCGTGAGATAGGAGATCGAAATACCCGCCATTTTGTAGTCAAAAGACCAAAAGCCATTTCAATTCTGATTCGTATTTAACTAGCATGGAAATTGAACGATTCGTGGTACTCGTCAACAATTTGGTTGCGTGTAAATGGCGTGATCAAATGCTCACTCACAGGATACGCATTGTCGCCGATGATATACATTCCTGTAGGAAATGAGTTGAGACTTCTCGCCACACCAGTCCCACGAAAAGCACGTGCATCATTTGTACTTCCTGGATAGCTGGCATCCACAGATATGAAGCGACAATGCGCATCGCACACGGCCTGCACATTGATACCAGGACATGCATAGTGTTCCACTATAATAGCGTCCAGTACCTACGTCCCCAGCGTCTTCAGCTGAAGGCGCCTTAATAGCACATAGCTATCCGTCTACGCAACCGACACAACCGCTTATTGTTCCACTGGAGCTGATAGCCTTAACGTCGTTCATCACAACCTCTCTGTCCGATTCAGAATCAGGAAATACGATTTTCGTTCTCGTAGACCGAGAATCGCGAACATTGTCTCGTTAATGACACGGTAGTAAGAAGATCCACTAATTCCTACAGTACGGCGAATATCAAGATACGAACCACCAGCTAAATAACGCAGTGTAGTCATGAGCATAAGTGGAGGCGATATTGGTTCTTTCCCGCTCGAGTTGGCAGATTGCTGTCTATTAACCTCAATATTTGGTGTTAAGAGCCCCAACAGGCACGAAAAACTGTCGGCAGTCACTCGAAAGGTTCGCTCGAACATGTTTTCATTCAACAGCATCTCAATTTCGAGATCAACATCGATGCGATGACGCGAGTAGCGCGAGTTCCGTGCTCGTGCTTGCAATAGAACGAACAGCAGCAGTATCGTTTGGACGTTGGCTCGATCGCGAAGACGAGGAGTGATCGCTATGCTCTTGCTGGGTGTGCGCATTTCGTTGCGATAGTGGAAGAGAACAAATGCAAAGCGATCAAAGTGATACATCGCAGTTATAAGCTAATATTAGATGTCAACCACCCCTCCTTCATCCTTAGCCACTAAGGCCATCCACTAGTTTTAAGTTTGTTCTTAGCCGAATCAAGCACAAAAAGTACCATCCACCTTAACTCTCATCCACTTGCAAGAAATCGGCTAAGAACGGCCCTTAGTGTACTACACAACGTACTTAAAAAAACGTATTAAAACACTAATTTTTAAACTAACAGCACTATAAATAACTGATTCCCAGTACTGCTTGAATCGAATCATAATAAGAACTGTGCTCTATGACATGTTGTCAGGGGTCAACGGTAAACTCGAAGTCGTCTGGGTGTCCACTAAACTCGAGAATTTCGGCAAGTCTATCGCTAGTGCCAAAACCATCACGAAGCTCCACGTGGAGCCGCATTGCATAGTTAGACTCCCCAATTCGTTTGCATTGTTGAGATCACCCCGATTTCGCACATCAATGCCGAGCATATATATTGTACAGTACGCATTTCACCGGTAAGCTGAAACTTATCGGCAAAATTAAACTAAGGTAGGATACACCCACGTAGCCGTCGGGATGAAGGTGGAACGGGTTGCCCAGCTCGAGGTTGGCGGTATTGAAGATTCGACGGCGATAAGGTTTCGTCAAATGGTCATGGGCTTGACCTATAACCATTTGAAAACTTGCTCTCAGCACACCACACTTCAAACTCAACACTTTAATCCGCTAGATCAACAACCCAGGTTCAAAAGGTCGTGACTCCAGCCCAAGGCGGCGACTCCAGTCCGGATCGGGCGGGACGTCAAGTGTGTCGGTACGCTGCACCTTCACCAACCACGGCTACAACGATGACGATGCTCGCCGCTAGCGACACGTCGAACGGAACCCTGGCACCACCAGTGAAGCAGCTCGCTAATCTGAATGTTGCCAGCCCATTGGCAAGCGTCGTCCACCAAACCGACAGAAATGGCAAGCAGCAGCTGATTCTCACTGGTGTTCGTCATATGTCCCGCGAAGGATCGTGTGCGAAGAAGACCCAGCAGCGAGGAAGTATCCGCAACATCTTCGGTAGTATTTGGTCTGCACTCAGTCTTCACGAGCAGCAGGAAGATGATGAAAAGGTAAAGCAAGGCAGATCGTCCACCTCCAAGCGTCAGAGTGCTGGTAGAGCGATTGAGTTGCGCCCGAGCCTCTTACCCCCTGTATATCCTAATGATGTCGACAAGAAGTGTCTGGTACTCGATTTGGATGAAACTCTGGTGCACTCTTCGTTTAGACCGACAGACAGCTACGACTTCATTATTCCTGTCAATATTGATGGTACCGTCCACCACGTCTACGTATGCAAGCGACCCGGAGCTGAGGAGTTCCTCATTGAAATGGCCAAATACTACGAGATCGTCATCTACACGGCCAGTCTCAGCAAGTACGCAGACCCACTGCTCGACAAGCTGGACCCGGAGGGTACCATTCGCTACCGTCTCTACCGCGAGCACTGCGTCCAGTATGAGGGCAGCTACGTGAAGGATCTATCCTTGCTTGATCGCGACATCACGCAGATGATCATCGTCGACAACTCGCCAATGGCTTACGCCTTCCATCCTCGGAACGCCATCGGTTGCTCCAGTTTCATCGACGATCCGAATGACCGTGAGCTTGACTCGATTGCACGTTTCTTGACCAAGTTCCAAGACGTGGAAGATGTGCGTAACCACATGCAGTTGTGGGATGCCAACTACTGACTCGTCCGATGAGCTCTTGCTTTATAACAACTTGATTACTAAAAAGAGATATGTTTATTTCATTGGCTTATGCGCTCTTACAGTATTACATGTATCATGCGAATGTAATAATAAGATTCCCGGTCTTATATAAATAACATTGATCCGCTTGAGAAAGAATGGACGAGGAACTTGCAAGAAAATTGGTCTGAGCAACGCCACAAACAAACCAGGGTAGAGGTCATAATATATGATGTTCTTTTGAATGAGCATGGCTCAAGATACCACCGCACAATGTATTGAAAGAAGCAATTGTTGTGGGAGGCGAGTTAGACACAATCTCGATCTTGTTGGCGATTGTGTAATGTTTTCCGAGGAAATCCAACTATGTACATAAAAGTTTTATCTTGTTGTTGTGGCTAGAGTTGGCAGAATTGCACCTTCAACATCACTACAAAAAGTTTGCATCCTTGCACAAGGATGCAAAGATTTTGTAGTGAAGTTCGGGTGATGGACGGAAGGAGGTCAAGTCAAGAACATGCGATTGTGATGGGGGGAGTCTACTACCGTGCAAAAATCTTCCATTCGCCATTGCGTCACGAAAGCAGCAGCCACTTGCGTATCAATGCGCTGGATCGTTTTTCCTTGGCTCGCTCTGGCCTTCAGTATGGTCGGAGCTCAAGGACATCTTACGACACATCGTAGACACCAACCTCCGCAGCATAACCGATTCTCTATGACGATTCCTCCAACGGGTTCAGCCCACCACTGTCGTATGCAGCAGCTGACGATACAACGTAGGCATCTTGAAGCTCTCGCTGTTCGGCTGAGTCTCGAGGTGCAAGAATTAAGAAACCACGCCCAGGAAACACTTCAAGAACCCTGGCATCAAAGCAAATGCGAGTGCGAGAGCTCAAATGATCTCAAAACGCCTACGCCATCACCAGCAGAGCCAACCCAATACCCAGAACCGGAGAATTTCTTCGGGAACAAGTCATGGAGACTGGAATCGACCGAAGATAGCAGTGGGTCGACCGGTACCGATGCAACATTGCGTCGTCGTCACGCAGGGTCATTCTTCACCAGCACCATGTTTGTTCTTGCCGTGTTTTTTGTGGTGATTCCGGCGGCCTGTTTCATTGGTTTTGTTTTCTTTTGCAAGCGAAGACGACGACACCAACACACCCACGCGTAAGAGTAAAAATTACATTTTTAAATGTAAATTTAAAAAACATTAAAAAGTGAGTTGTTACCTCACAACGGTCGTTTTAGGCTTTTTAGTAGTGTTTAAAATATGCGATATACGAGGTTCTCAATTAATTGCCAGTTTTATTCATCACTAGCCATGGACAAGAGCTCCTCGGCGCCGAAAGAGGTGCTCGCGTCATCGCTGGACGACGCGGCCTGCCTGTTCGTCGAAGCACGCACGGTGCGTCTGACTTTTTCTCTGCGCAGTGTGGTGTGCTGTGGGGCTGTCAATCTCGCTCGGTGTCACTACATGCATTAGCAGCATTTTGGCGGCAAATGTTTATTTGTGGCTGCTGCTTGTGGCAGGAAACGCTGCGCATGGCAAATATCAACGAGTTCTTCATCTGCAAGCTATGCAAGGGCTACTTCCGAGACCCCTACACTTCCAAGGAGTGTCTGCACACCTGTACGTTGTCCGGAAAAGAAGGAATCGTCTTTAGGTAGCGAAACTGAAGCGTTGTTTGGTGATGATGTAGTCTGCTACGGCTGCATTCGAGGGTACTACCTATATCACCCTAAGATATCCTCCTGCCCAACGTGCAAATTGAACCTCGGTGCCAAGCCAATGGCCAAACTCCTGTACGTAGACGACAGTCGTACATTGCAAAACTCCACTTGACAATTATCGTTATGCTACAGCCCTGATCCGGCAATGAAAGAGCTGGCCTCGAAATTCCTGCCGGACTACACTGCAAAGGAAGACGCCGAAGGTGCCGCCACTACTGACTGTGTTTTTTGTGTGTGGGAAGGTACTAACACACTTGCTGAATGGCTTGGTTGCTAACATATAGAGCGGCTGTATTATATGAAGTTTGGGATCAAGCGCAAGCAGCCTGATACTCGGAGCGATACGCAGGCCAGTCCTCCGAAGATCAGTCGCTCACTTGGCCCGTCTCCGGGAAACATGATTCGGTTTGAGCTCTATCCTCAGCGTGGGTATGTTATCAACTGGTGTCAGTAACACGTCGGTGCCGCGGTCTGAAATCGAATATAACGTTTTGTCGCAGTCCCGACGTCCCGCTCTTCCTCGCGCTGGGCAAGCTGGAGGCTGCTCACATGTACACGCAGCCTCTTCTCAAGGTGCGACGCTTTCTTCTTCCTGTTGTGGCTCCTTTTGTGGATTTGACGTTTTGCTTCTCCTTCCACGTAGATCATGCACCTCCGCAAGTACTTGGCTAAGAAGTTGAAGGTAGCCAAGCCCGAGGAAATTGAGATCCTTTGCAAGGGCACTGTGGTCGGGTCGGAGTACTCGCTTGAGTTTATTCGACGCACGCGCTGGCAAGAGAGCTCCAAGATGCTTCTGGAGTACCGACGACAGCTAGTGGCCTCATAGAGTTCAGTAATGGTTCATAAGCGCCAAGTTTCTTAGTACATGTTGAAGGGTTAAAGTCAGGGATGAAAAAAATAACCTGAAACCGGTATTGATCCAATAAAACGAGAGAGTTGGGCTGGTAGTGCGAATAAAAAAACCAGCGAAATATTTGTACGGGATTTTTTTCGCATTCGGGTGTATTGAATATAGAAATATGGGGACACGCCGGGGACGACCTAAATATCGCTGCTGGAGTAATCCACAGCGTTCATTGCACAGCTGTAAACCACCACTGGATCTGCACATGCATACCAATTAGGAGCAATGCGAGGGTAACAGCATAAACACCAACAATCTCCGGCTTTGTTAATAACATAAATGCCATCAATGGAACATCAGTAATACTTCAAAGTAGTAGCACTGATTTGGAAGCAATCAATTATCCAACACGTAATGAACGATCCATCGTTTTATGAGTCATAAATTGCTTTACAACACGAGCAGCTGCAGCTCTCCAATGGTATACATTATCAGAAGACGCCACCCCAAATTGCTTACGGACACCTGCAAGCTTGGCTGCCGTCCAAACGGCGTGAAAAAGGCAATATCCCATGCTAGACCAAAGACTTCAACAGAAGCTGCATTTACTACCGAACACCTCAAAATCGATATTGACGAAGCTAACTATTTTGCCATCAACCAAGTAATTTAACCGCATCTCATGATATCTTAGAAAAACTTTTTACGAAAGTGAAACCTTCAGAGTTTCATAGCGTTTGGTTAGAAAATAAGACCAGCTCATTCGAAGTACTGGCATAGGCCGAATACAGTAGGTTGATTATTGAACCTCGTATTGTAATGATTATTATTGCCTGTCGAGGAGACTAGTTTTATAAAGCTTACAAAGGATAAGCTAAATACAGGCAGTAATACACTGCTGTGACATTTTTCAACGTAACGTTAGCAGTTTATTATTGATTTCAAGCAAATTGCAATGATTATCACGCCATAAAACGTTTTGCAATCTATTTTTATTTATTCTCCGATAAAGAGTTAGCTGTGGCTTCCTGGTGAGTTAGGGTCCTGTTTTGACTTCCTGTAGTTTAGTTTAACAGTATGGTAAGGTCGTATTGCTGTCTTTCTTTGCTCTTCGCGGCAATTCTAACTGACTTGCGGCTGTCGATGTAACAAGGAAGGCAGTACATGAAAGAAATCAAAGAGTTATTCATCTGCAAGCTGTACATGGGTTACAGTCGAGATGCTTGTACCTCTAAGGAGTGTCAACACACATGTACGGCAAACAAAAGCCTGCTTTGCTCTTGTGAAACCGAACTTACATGTAGCATGTTGGTGTGATATTATTGCAGTCTGGTAGGGCTATTAATACGTGCTGTGGTACTACCACAGTCACTAAAATTCGTCTTGTTGTCCAACGTGTGAACTGGAGCTCGGTGCGATGCCGACAACCAAATTCCGGTACGTGCAAGTTGTCTTTCAAGCTGTTTATGTGGAAACGATGAATTTATGTACTGTTATGCAGTCTCGACGTGACTATGGCATTGAAGCTTTTGCCGGACAACGCTGCGAGGGAAGAAGCCGAAGGTGCTGTACTGCTGACTCAACAGCGAGGACGGCAGCGAATAGAACGACAGTGAAGACAGCAGCAGGAACTAAAGCGGCCAGGACGACAGCAGGGCCAGCGGCGAGGACGACAGCGGAACAAGTAGAAAGAAGGAGACTTGCACAAGTCGGGGACGACTCGTTGACCAGGGGAAGAGAGTAAGCAGAACGAAGTTCTTGTGTGTCCGAGCCCAAGAAACGGACGAACGAGGAAGTGGTGATGTCGTGGCGGGTACGGACGCCATGCGACGCCATTTCTCAACGGGCAACCAAGCCATTCAGAAGAGTGACGAACACGGTAAGGGATCTTAGGATATAGGATCGGGTTGCTGGATGAAGGTTAAGCGACTAGTGAGCAGCAGGCACGCAGTGCACATGTAGGGTAAGATCAGTAGATAATTTGCGGATAAACGAGTAGGCCGCCGTGCGGTCTTGTGCGGGGCTGAAGCAGACAACCCGCGTGTCAAATAGACGTTGGCTCGCTAACCGAAGTAGTCAAAGCCCCCAGGAGGTGTGGGAGAGTGGGTTCAAGTCCCACGAGCAGACGCGGTTCGAGTCCATTTATCGAGCGGTGAGTAGCTAACGAGGGTTCAAGTCCCCGGTTTGAGTCCAGAGCGCCCCGCCTCGACTGCTCAGCGAGTCTGATCCTCCTGGAAGTAGAGCTTAGCCGCTGCACTGCACCCGGAAAGAAGGTGTCAATCGCGTGCATATTGCGTGAATAGGATTGCATATATAGGTGAGCGACAGCTGTGACCACCGGCACCGATCCTTGGCCAGGAAACGGACTGGAGTGAGGTGTGTGGACGTGACTGCAGAGGACAACGAGTGATACGTCCGTGACGAACACGCGAAAGAGCTCGCGAGCATAAGAGAGAGCTTACTTGGCATTCTTAAATAATACATGTCCGTAAATACCTGGCGAAGAAGTTGGAGCCGAGGAAATTATAATTCTATGCTGTGGTGGGGCCAGAGCACGCGCTCGAGTTCATCCGACGTACGCACTGGGAGAACTCCAAGATGATCCTCAAGTACCGACGGCAGCCAAATGCCTTGATCACAGTCGCTTTGAGTAAACTGTTGTGAAGTGAAGATCTTGATTGAAACAACCTAAGTTTCCACAGCTACATGTAGATCATCTTTGATGAAACAAAAGGAAACCCAGCCTGTAAAGTTATTCGATTTGAGTTCATCGTGGAATAAAATTTAAGCTTTTTTTAATTACTAGGCTGTCTTTCAGTGCACTTTGTGAGTAGTCTTGATAAATTACCTACGCTCGTCACCATGTTTTAATAAGAAAATTTGGGAAAGATTAACCGGTTTCATGTCGGGCGCTGACTAAAAAAAAGCACTACATGTATGGCGAACGTTTTACTCGTAAATAGTATAGTACTATAAATACGTGCGAGAAGCTGAAGGACTACTACTACGTACTACTACGCCACGTAGTACTACGTAGCTTTTATACTACTGTAGTAGTAGCATTACTGACATTATTAACAAGCCGAATCTTTAACAAAACAACCATGGGTAAAAATAAGCTAGTTAGAACATACGTAAACAAATCGAGTAAATTAGAAGCTGAGGATCCTCCTCGTTGACTTTATTATCTTTAGAGAAGCCATTCAACTCCAGCCGCTTCTCTTTAAAAGCTAACAAGCTTTCTAGACAAACCAACTAAAGTAAGCAAAAACAATTCGCTGTTAAAGCACTCTATGCCCGTAGCGCGTGCAGTCCACGATGACGCCACCGCGACGCGAGACTTTTGACTCAAAAGACTCCGACTGATTAGTCGACCTCCTCGATCTTGGGGCCCTGGTCGGGAGCGCCAGCAGGGGGGGCACCTCCAGCAGCACCCGGCATGCCGCCGGGCATACCACCGGGCATGCCACCGGGCATGCCACCCTCAGCGCCAGGGGCACCGCCAGCAGCAGCGTACATCTTCTGCAGGATCGGGTTGGCAACACCCTCGAGCTCCTTCTGCTTGCCCTCGTACTCCTCCTTCTCAGCCGACTGGTTCGCGTCGAGCCAGTTGATGGTCTCGGTCACCTTGTCGTCGATTACCTTCTTGTCATCCTCCGAGATCTGGTCCTTGAGCTTCTCGTCGTTCAGAGTGTTGCGCAGGTTGTACGCGTAGTTCTCCAGAGCGTTCTTGGCCTCAATGCGGACCTTGTTGGCCTCGTCCTCCGACTTGTACTTCTCAGCTTCCGAGACCATGCGGTCAATGTCAGCCTGAGACAGACGACCCTTGTCGTTGGTAATGGTGATCTTGTTCTCCTTACCCGTCGACTTCTCAACAGCCGACACGTTCAGGATGCCGTTAGCGTCGATGTCGAACGTCACGTCGATCTGCGGCACCCCACGAGGCATGGGCGGGATGCCGTCCAGGTTGAACTTGCCCAGCAGGTTGTTGTCGCGCGTCATGGAACGCTCACCCTCAAACACCTGGATGAGCACACCCGGCTGGTTATCGGCGTACGTCGAGAACGTCTGTGACTTCTTGGTCGGCACCGTCGTGTTACGAGCAATCAGGGTGGTCATGACACCACCAGCCGTCTCCAGACCCAGAGACAGAGGCGTCACATCCAAAAGCAGCAAATCCTGCAGCTTCTCAGACGAATCGTTACCGCTCAGAATGGCAGCCTGGACGGTAGCACCGTAGGCCACAGCCTCATCGGGGTTGATGGACTTGTTGGGCTCCTTGCCGTTGAAGAAGTCGGACAGCAGCTGCTGCACCTTAGGGATACGCGTGGAACCACCGACCAGCACCACTTCGTGCACCTGGCTCTTGGACAGCTTAGCGTCACGCAGCACCTTCTCCACAGGCTCCATCGTCTTGCGGAAGTAGTCACCGCACATGTCCTCGAAACGGGCACGCGTGATGGTCGAGTTGAAGTCGATACCGTCGAACAGAGAGTCAATCTCAATGTAAGCCTGAGCAGACGACGAAAGCGTACGCTTAGCACGCTCGCAAGCAGTTCGTAGACGACGCAGGGCACGCTGGTTCTCCGTGATGTCCTTGCGGTGCTTGCGCTTGAACTCCTGCGTGAAGTGGTCCACCAGACGGTTGTCAAAGTCCTCACCACCCAAGTGAGTGTCACCGGCAGTAGCCTTCACCTCGAAGATGCCCTCTTCGATGCTCAGCAGCGACACATCGAAGGTACCGCCACCAAGGTCGAAGATGAGCACGTTGCGCTCGCCGCCCTTCTTGTCAAGGCCGTAAGCGATAGCAGCGGCAGTCGGCTCGTTAATGATACGCAGCACGTTGAGCCCAGCAATGGCACCGGCATCCTTGGTAGCCTGACGCTGCGAGTCGTTGAAGTAGGCAGGCACCGTAATGACGGCGTTCTTGACCTCCTTGCCAATGAAGGCCTCGGCCACCTCGCGCATCTTGATCAGCACCATGGACGAGATCTCCTCCGGCTGGAACGTCTTGGACTCGCCCTTGAACTGCACCGTGATCTGGGGCTTGTCGCCGGCGCCCGCCGTGATCTTGAACGGCCAGTGCTTGATGTCGGCCTGGACGATCGGGTCCGAGAACTTACGGCCGATCAGACGCTTGGCGTCGAACACGGTGTTGTGGGCGTTCATGGCCACCTGGTTCTTAGCGGCATCACCGATCAGACGCTCGGTGTCCGTGAAGGCAACGTACGAAGGGGTCGTACGGTTACCCTGGTCGTTAGCGATGATCTCGACACGGTCGTTCTGCCACACGCCGACACACGAGTAGGTCGTGCCGAGGTCGATGCCGACCGAGTATCCAGACACAGATTGAGCCATCTTGTTCTAGTTTGCTTGGTTAAAAGAGCTTGGTGTTTGTCTTATTCTCCACAAAGGAAATTTGGAAATGAACTGATAAACTGAAGAGTCTTCTGAAAGATCGCTTCGGAAGGGGTGCGAAGTGTTAATAAGTTTAACACAGAAATGACCTCCGTCGCAAACACGAGCCACCGCGACGTTCGAGACAATTCCTATGCCGACGAGCTGGGCGTGATGGATGTGAATTGGCCCAAAACATACATGATTTAGTCGTTTTGACCAATCGACAGCTTTCACGAAGACAGCGTTTCGCTCAAACTTGGGAAATGTAGTGCAGTCGAAAGTTCTCGAAGGTGACACTCATCTATCCAATCGGGGCTTTGCAGGATTTTTCGATCAAATGAAGCCATCTCAGACGTTTTATTCCTTTCGGCGGGTATTCCAAGAGAAGGGATTACTACCGAAGGGTTCATCTGAACACTCACACACACACAAATCGAAAGACCTACAGTACTTATTAATTTCAAGGGCCGCTTGCGTGTAAATGGCGTGATCAAATGCTCACTCACAGGATACGCATTGTCGCCGATGATATACATTCCTGTAAAAAATGAGTTGAGACTTCTCGCCACACCAGTCCCACGAAAAGCACGTGCATCATTTGTACTTCCTGGATAGCTGGCATCCACAGATATGAAGCGACAATGCGCATCGCACACGGCCTGCACATTGATACCAGGACATGCATAGTGTCCACTATAATAGCGTCCAGTACCTACGTCCCCAGCGTCTTCAGCTGAAGGCGCCTTAATAGCACATAGCTATCCGTCTACGCAACCGACACAACCGCTTATTGTTCCACTGGAGCTGATAGCCTTAACGTCGTTCATCACAACCTCTCTGTCCGATTCAGAATCAGGAAATACGATTTTCGTTCTCGTAGACCGAGAATCGCGAACATTGTCTCGTTAATGACACGGTAGTAAGAAGATCCACTAATTCCTACAGTACGGCGAATATCAAGATACGAACCACCAGCTAAATAACGCAGTGTAGTCATGAGCATAAGTGGATGCGATATTGGTTCTTTCCCGCTCGAGTTGGCAGATTGCTGTCTATTAACCGCAATATTTGGTGTTAAGAGCCCCAACAGGCACGAAAAACTGTCGGCAGTCATTCGAAAGGTTCGGTAAGAGCATCTCAAACGATTCCCAGTAAACGGTAACGGAAAAAAATATAGCGTGCTTTTTATCGTGTTGTGGAAAATTTCCTCCCATCGGTCCACTCTAACGCTAACTGGAAAATTTAACCCGGTAGGTTTTAGCGCTCACCCGGCAAACTTGTGTGATTGACCGTGACTACGGCAAACCCTCGGTAAATGCAATGCCTTCTTTGGTTGGCCAGTGAAAGGTCATGTGCTCTCGGGATTCAGGCCGACAGCATTTCACCGAGTACGAAGGTGCTTTAGCGACCATGGATCCTGCTGCATCGCCCAGCGAAAGTCAGCTCAATACGATGATAGCAGCGATTGGTTTACGACGATACTCCGCATTAAACTTAGCTAATACCGCCGCTGTGAAGCGCTGGAACGCTTCTATTGCCGTGCTTTCGCTAAGACGAACGTACTCATCTGTCGCATCTCCTGCAACATCATAGCAGTACATACGAATAGCCGGTGAGACCTTTTATAGAGGGGAGAGATCAGGATTCCCCGCAGCATCGGGGCGCTGGCGGAAGTAGTCGTCCATTTCGACTACACCGTTCAGCAAACGGCTAAAGGCGGCATCCGAAATCCTCTGCGAAACATAGCAGTTTTGTAATCAGGATTTGGAGCGAAATAGTCTTGGTAGAGCCGTGAGTGACCAAACGAATGGTCGCGACGAGCGTTTGGGCTTCTCCCAGGTCGAGACCCACCACGCTTCTATCGAGGCTCATCGGAGTGTAGCGACTTTGTACAAGCGCTGATAGCCGATACTAATGCCATCTCTGCCGCCTCGTCCGCGTCCTCCATCTCGTGCACTTCGCGAAGCCGCTTCAACCTCGATCTCTAGTCGGTACTCGTGGCCTTGTTCGCCTCACTGAAAAAGATTATGTATGCCGTTCTGTTTTACAGAGCACCGTTGGAAGGAAATTTGGCGGGACGGGTACATTTTGTAGCGTGGTCGTATATTTCACGATAAACGCCCCTTCGTCAGAGCCGTGTGCCGTGCATGGTTGGAGATGCTCCAAGATAATCTGGCTATGATTTCAATCATTCGCTAAATGGTAGTATCTGGCCTTTTGTGTAGTTCACTCTATTGAGACAATATCAATCTGAATTGTGCCCA